AATTCGTTATAAAGTATACCGAAAATTATACGATTCGGTTTTTACATACGTAAAATATTTACAAACAAACAAACAAACCCCTTTTTTTTGTATAAATAATAACAAACAATTTATTTTATAATGATAAAAATACTCTTCATTGCTTTCCTATAAATAAAAAAAAAAAAAAAAAAGTTTTTATATTTTCAATAATACATAGATATATAAAATCCTATTTTATAACAATAGATTTTTTATTTGATCTATTTTGAATTGTTGGATGTGCGTGGCAGAAGACAATTAATGGGTTGTCAAATTGTGTGTGCTATTTCAAACCCTTCCATAGAGTAACAAATTTTTTTTTGTTTGTTTCTTTGTTTGAATTATTGGCATTATTGAGAAGAAGAATGTTTTTACATTAGGGTACAGGTTTCTCAATAAATTTAACCGATTCGTTAACAACAACAAACGAAATATTCAGTTTGTCGGTTTTGTTTCATCTCGTTTATAAATAAATATTCACGTGTGAATCGGAATTTAATTAAAATTTAAAACAAACAAACGAAACAATTTGTAACGGTTTTTTTCAACATGTAAATTTTATGTATGAAAAAAAAACTTGGTTTTCTTATACATTTTTTTTTTTTTTTTTTCATATTCGTATCGTTGTAAAACGAAAGAGTTAATATCGATCTTTCTTTTTTCCTTTCTTTTTTTTTTTTTTTTTTTTTTTAACATTTTAACTCACCCTCAAGTTTTTTCTCGCCCTCGCTTTTTTTTTTACCCTTACCCAAAGGAAGATGTTCGTCTCTATAGCAACCCCGTAACGTTTTCAGTGTCCGTTACCAAATTCTTTTGCAGAAGAAAAAGAAGAAGAAGAATAAGAAAATTAAAAAAATAAAAAGAAAAAAAAACAATTGATGGGCCAAAGATTATTTTACTCCTTCCGAACCACACTCATAATAATGATGATTTGATCGATGTAATCGATAATGACGTAATCGTCCATCGATACAACTATGACGTTTTTCCTTATTATCCGTAAGTAAAATAAATTTAATACCATTTCATCGTCATGTTCGCGTTACAAAATTATTGTGACGTCATAAATTTCCGTTATTAATTTAAAAAAATTTAAAAAAATTCATCACACGCTCTAAAAAACTAAACAAACAAGTTAAAACAATTTTTTTTTTTTTTTTTTTTTTTACAGACAGGGTAGGAGCTGGCGTGTGCATCGTAAAACGATTGTTGAGGGTGGCAACTCAGGGGGTAAGTTTTTTTTTCTTTTTTTTTATAGTAAGGGATGATCCTGGCAGAGGAAAAAAAAATTTTTTTTCTAATTAACCAAGGGTGTAGAACAATAGATGAGGGTGAAATTATATATCTACGGTAGCCGAATAAGAAAAAAAAAAAAAAAAAAAGAGAAATTTTTTTATCTTGTTGTTTAAATAGCGAAAGTGGAAGAAGAAAAAAAAAAAAAAACAAGAAAGAAAAAAAAAATGAGGAAGTCGTTATTATTATCATTATTATTATTTTCTCCTGTAGGGTTTAAAATCTCGAATTTTTTTTTTTATTTAACAAACCGGGTTTTTTTTTTACGATTAATAATAATAATAATTAATTATTAATATTATCATTTTTTTTTTAAAAAAGTAAAAGTTCGTTATTTTTATTTCGTTTATTTTAAAAACAAAAATATTTAAAAGTTTTTTTTTTTTTTAGAAAAATAATTTTGATTATTATTATTATTATTATTACGTTTAAATATGAAAGGTAAAGCGTAGCAAATATGGAAGATTTTTAAATATTCAGGTAAGTT